AATGTAATTGTTATTTTTTCATTCTGCTAATGTGGTTAAAACACATATTATTTTGTAAATGGTGTATCCGTGTAATTGAATGAATGAATAAATAAATAAGAATCTTTCCTTGGTTTGTCTTTCTAACGGGAATTGTTGTTGGGTAGACCTTAATACAAGCAAAGCGTTCTAATCAAACTATTTAGGTTGCAGTAAGATCATGCAGTACCCCTAGGTTTGCTGAGTTTTTGGCTTGTATGCATGTGTAGTGTACAATCAACTCCTACATTGAACTTTCTTTTATCCTCAGCTTTGCCTCGTATATAAAATATAAATATATAAATAGTTAAAACACGCTCTGATAAGATTCTACGCGAGGAAATTTGATACTCATGTGTTCCGGTTAGCCTCATTGCTAGTATAAAATATACTAATCTTCCAGTTTTACTGGATTGAAAATTTGTTGTATGCAAACAAATCAGTAAATTACAGAGAATCTCTATCATAAAGTTGAGTTACGTTACTTTTGATTTTAACACTGTATAAATATTAAACATGGAAATAGAACGTCTAGTCTTTCCCTTAGTCAAAGGTTGTACGTCTATTAATAGTAATTCTACAAATCTACTAAATTAGTACTTGATTGCGGAGCGCCCGATGGCCACAGTAAGAGATTCAATCCACCAAAGATTACTTTGCCAACGGATCCAGCCTCCGTTTCGATTAAGGTTAATGATTATCACTTAGGCAAGTTAACCACAATACTCAGTGCGATTAAGTAGTTTGGATTGGGTTTAATTTAGACAACAACTGTTTGCACAATGGTTTCGCTGTTTGTTCAGTGTTCGCCTTACGTTGGTTTTTGTTGTGATTCGCAAATAGTGGTTGGTCACGGTGGTGCTGTTTAGTTGTGAACCTATTGTTCTTGAATATAGAATATAGTTTTATTTTGGTAGGGAAAGGGTAAATGAGATACTGAAAACAAACAATATCAAGTTAGAACTGTTTATGAAGTATTCTGTATAGATTGGGTGTCTATGTTGGTAGTACTGGAGTTTCTTCAGGGTGGTAGCGCTTCTTGCCCTCATACCATTCTCGAGTCACTGCTTCCGCTTATTTTCTACAATTGAAGATTAGGTCACAGATATAAATTACATGCATATATATGTAGGCCTACCGATGATGTTAGTGTTACTAAAAAACGGCAAAGGGTAGACAGAGAAAATAGGTTGTGTAAAACCAAATGAAAGGCGATTGTGAAATAATGTACTTACATGTATCTTAAACATTGACTATTTGAAACAACGTGCCAGAACCTGGACTAGGTATGTGCCAGTAAGGATCTAATTGTTTTTTTCCAAGTAGACACAATTGCATGTTAAGGATCGACAGTACGGTTGGGTAGGAACAGAATAGTAAAATATAGGCATTATGGTTCAGTATCGGCAAGATAGTTTGGGCAATATGGTTCAATTTGTCAAGTTAATTGTTAATGAACAGTATGGTTCAGCTGTTTTAAAAAATTCAGTGTGGTTTTCCCTCCTTATAAATCAATGACCCGATTAGTGTTAATTCAAACTGTTGATATTTCAAAAAACCATTGATTCGTGTGCAAAATTTGGTTCAATGTAATAAGTAAGATTGGTTAAAAACCACCCACCCTCACCACCAAATCAAATTTCTTTAAAATCTTACGTAACCGTGTTAACGTAATGCGCATCGTATAGAGATACAAATAAAATAGTCGTTTTACATTCAACCTAGATAGTAGGCAGTTTCAAGATGTTTTTCGCAGAAAAAATCACAATAACGACACAACTCAGTGGGATCTGTATGTCGCACAAAATGCTCATATTTTCCGCTATTCGGGAACAGTGATACGTGAAAGATCTCGACCCCATTCTGCGTGCATTCCACTGTAGAATATAACAGGAAAGCTGGGTCAAGCGATGGAACTAACATTTTATCATCCTCTTTTGGTTTAAATTGTTCTAATACAATGTTTTGCGTGTGTGTAAATTTTTATCTTTTCTTAGTTTTTAATTGGACCGAAAATCAGACCAATGTCAAGGGTTTAAAAGATTTGGTTTGTAAAAATTTATTATTATTTTGTGAAAATATTTTTCCTGATGTAATTCAGAACGACGAACAAAATTTGTGCTAATGCACAGGCATAACCCATGGTGTTTTGGCGTTAATGATGATTATTAACACCGGATTTTCTTAAGGGAATTACACGTATTTTGTTTTCATTCTGTGCTATAACGGTTGTAACGGCAGTTTCACGTAGCCTACGTATGCTAAAAGAAGCTCTTCTTCTCCCTTAGGGAAAAAAGAATCAGTCAATATATATAGAGTAGAAGACACTATACATTTACCCGACGTTGGATTCGTCCAATGATTTTGCCCAAGAAAATATTTCCGTTTGATAATAATAGTATTGCATTGTTTCAAATGTATGAAATTATCGTTTGGTAATTAAGTTAGCTTAAATAACAGCCAGCTGGCGCACCATGACTAAAAACCCTGTCCACACTTTAAAAACTTATTAAAGACTTTTTCAATTATAGTTTTTTGAAATTATTAGAGGCTTTTGAAAATATGTGCAGTGATCTACTCAATAACAATAAGTAAATAAAATCTTTGATATGTAAACTCTGGTAAAACAATTTCTTCTTTCTGCAATAAATCATGTCGTGTGACTATAACTCATTCTAGTCTAGTTGATAGGTTAAAATGCAAGCTGTGTTCTGGAAGTAATAAATCACTATGATGATCTTACTTTACTTTTAAATCTTCGTCGTTGGGTTAACGCTCAAATTCGTAATAAGTAATGTACCTAATTTTTTTAACTTTTTGACGCTTGCATACCTGAAAGTTTCATATCTTGGTTCTACCGGAGGTTAGTTTGTGTATTTGGTCCTGTCAAAGTTATTGATTATACTTTTAATAAATTGTGTTTATTTTTTAATTTTGTACTTAACGAAATTAAGTTCAGAGTGTTTTTACGGAGAGATATAGTTAATGAAGTAGTTACTCATATGTGCACTTTATTGAATAGCTGTCTCGTTTCGTTTCGATAATACTAGTTTTGTAATTTTAATAACTGATAAAACTTTTGTTTATTTTACAATCGTCTTCCACTTTAAAAATCTTATTTAATTTGCTTTCTTAGGAACAATACTCAGGGTACGAAAGTGGGCGTAAAAATATTTTCATCTTTGACAAATATTCAGTTATTTTATTGACATAAATGCATTTGAATTAAAACTATAGTGATATTTTTAAATGCATCTGTCTTTTTTTATTTCTATGTAGAAACAACTTTCGATTGCGTAATTTTATTCTTTATCTTAAAGGTTTTCAGTTCAACGTAAAAAGATCACAATAACATCAAAATTGCATTCGATTTCTCTTCAAAATAAAATATAAATCTTATATTCTTACAGGAAGCTCTTGGTAAAACATTTATCAACGACTATTTCAATCCAATTTACAAATTTTTTGCTTTATTAATTAAAATAAACACGAAAAATATTGTTATACATTCATGTACAAGTCTCAGTGCAAATTATAAATTTATTTTCAATTTTCGACCCAATTATTTATTTATTTAATGTGTAAAAATAATTTTTAAAAAATTTTATTAAAACCTATCAAAATTAAGTAGACATTTCGTATTCATACAAAAAGGCCTAGAGATGTATCACGATAAACGCTCTGTCTTGCTCGGCTGGTCAGATTAAAATGCAAACCATGCTGCGTACTACATTAATCTCAACAATACATTAAGTCGGTGACCCTCCATTTGTAAAATTATAAAATGTTTTATTTCAACAAAGGCTATTGTAGGTACTGTCCTTTGTCTTGTTTATGAAAACTCGTATACATTGCTATTGTGCTATGTAAATTTAGTAGTGAACTATTTACATGCCTTTGCGTTTAAGTAATTCGGTGGTTTTCTTTTATAATGAGAAGTTAAGAATCGTATAACTATACAAACCGAAAATCTTTAATTAAGTAATTATCCAATACAATGTTGCCAAAAAGAGCATGAACAAGGAAGAGAATGTCCGTTGGAAAACTGGTCGTCCATGGTGGGAGCTAGTGCTTACATCTTCCTACCACAGGGCACAAAAATACCCCCGGTGTAGCAAACCTGGAGAGTCATTCTATATATTCGGTATTGGAGTTAAACTCAACGGGGAAAATATATTTTTCGATCAAATGCTAATGTCATGGGATTAAATAAATCAATTTAATCAAAATATATCCATGAAGGAGCAAACTACATCATATTTTTCTCAATAGGAATAACATGGGAGTTATAAATGTTAAGTATTTTAGAAATTTCTTTGTAACTCCTTAAAGTTTAACAATGCTTATAAATACAAAATTATTTTCTTTTTAGCTCTACACTATGGTTTTAATGGAAATTTGACATTTTATGTGGGTAAAAACTTGTAAAAGCCAATTAATGAAAAATTGAGAAACGACATCAGTAACGTGATCGTGTTCCCACAACACGATATTTCTGATTCGTGAACACGTTTATGTTTTTAAGTGGATCCATCCCTACACGTTCATGTTAAATTTTATCAAAATCAGAACAAAATCTCTTGATATTGTCGTGTTTACGAAAATATACATAAATAGAAACTAATGTTGTCTGAGGACATCAAAACGATAAGGTTAATCGGTCCCGGGTTCTAGGTCTCGCCGTGCCACCGTAATAGCTTCTTTCCTATTGGGAATTCATTAATACCTTATACAGAAAGTGAAAAGCTGCTGTAAAATATTAAGGAAAAGGTAGTTCACAACTTGAGCATCAGTGATAACCTTGTTACCGACAGGGAAAGCTGATCTTTCAACTCAACTTTTCCTTGTTCTGTTAAAGTTGAATTTGCCACTACATTTTCAATACATACTTTAGGTTTGTAAACTTTCTCATTATGCTGAAAGTTGTTGCTTGGTTAACTTTTAATAAGTGTTTACGTAAGATTGCTTTTGGTATTACTTACGTTTGGAGTGTTGAGTGTGTTAAGACACTGCTAATCAAATCCTGAAAAAATAAAAATATTTTTAACAAGTTTGTCATTTACATGTTCCCTTCTTTATATGAAAAGTCATCGTTGTGGTTATTCTTTCCTGACGAAACTTGTATAGAATAGTTTAAATTGTTTTATTCCGTTGTTATTTAACACCTTAATTATTCTTCATCACTCCAAAGATAGTAAATTATATCTTTGCCAACGTTTGAGTCATAGCAGTCAAATCTGAAGTTCAAAAAGGAGGCTAAGTTATATTTAAGAATTTGTAAAAATGCACTGTAAAGTCATCATTTATTTGTTTTAACTCAAATTATGTTATAATGATCAAATGCTACTTCACAAACTTATTAAGTTACAAAAATCCAATAAAAATACCAATAACGGGAAAATTTGCATTCGTTAAAAACTAGGAATTTAAAAGCGGTTTTGTTATTTTTTACATTCTTTTTATGAAAGTCTAAAGTTTAAATTGAAAATATAGTAAAAATTACAAATAGACACACTGCATGATAAGGAAATATGCCCCGCTAAGCTGTATATAAATAAACAAAATATAGTTATGAAAATGTTGATTGTATTATTTTTTTTAATTATTACTCCTCTCTGAGTGAAATATAAGGGAACAAAGAGCCGACAAAATCTAGATATTATGTCGAGAGTCGTTGGAGCGAAATCGTATTTGGCAGAGGGCCAGGTGCTACTTCTGACTGTGCGATTCATTAAACTTAACTTTTACCGTATTAAACTTGACCTGTACTCACTTTCAATTGTAATTCGTCGATCCCGACGTAGCGTATTACTTGAGTCGTTTCTCACTTTGTTTAGGCGGTTTCTGCCTTTTAAACCTGGTCGCTAAGTCATCAAACTTTATGGTTAGCGTTAGAGTAATGTGGGAATAAATTGAGAGCATAGGCTATAAATTTCCAAATTCAATAGCTTTGTAGTAAACTATCATGTTAATCTCGACCGTATAGTTTGTTATGTAAATATGTAGCCTATCATAATTCTTAAAACTATTGCAGATTTAAACTGTTACACACATTTCCATAATTTCTAATACACCCATTACTGTGGCCTTGTGTTAGAGAAGACTCAATTAAATAGTTCCTATATAGTCCATACACTCTGAATATGAATGCAATAGTCGTTTTACAGGTTAATTATTATTGTGATGTATAACCTAGTAGTTTACAATGTTTCTTCTTAGTTGCTTGAAACGATGCAACACAATTGTTCAATGAAGTCATCAAGAACTGTCTCGTTTGTGTCTAGATACTGACGACATCTGGTTGTAGGTTAATGATGATTGTGATGCTTGAAACAAGTACAACTTTCTCATTACATCGTTAACTGATCAAATAATAGATGTTTATTTACGGAACATATTCGTAATGGTTTGTTGAAGTCTAACATTCTTATATTTCTGTTTACTTGCAATTATTAGAGAAAACCTTAATAATTAATAAAGGTTTTTCTATGATGTATATACTATTAAAATATGTTTTGTCCTTTTTAGACTCGAAGTTCTTGTAGTTTTTAGACATAAAATACACTACATTTTTGTTTTGGGTTCTTTTTAATGTCGTTTGGGATAAAATCACAGTAACAATATTTAATAGTCTAACCCCCAACGAAAATTTTAATAGAATAACCATAAGAATTGTTCATTTTTAGCTCGTTGAATTATAGTCGAAAAGAACAAATTAATGCAATACAGCGCAGATTCCACATGAAATATTCGGTAGAATATTTGTGTACAATATTTGTAGAGTATTCGGTAGAATATTTGTATCTGTGTAATGTAGTGGTAACTACACAAATGCAAACATACAAACTATTTTTTTTTAATAATTCTGGAATTTCAACGAGTTCAAAAACTGGTTTGTATTCAGTTTCTCGAATTAGAACTCTAATTTTTTAAAGAATTACCTCAATAGCTGAATTGAAATAAAATAAACCACATCCCTGTCTTTGAAGTATTTATCTTATTGCCAATTTTAAAATATTCCCCCTCCCTTGTATAGCAAATATAGAAGTTTGTGTACAATTTAAAAAGTAGAATGGTTCTCGTCAAAATATTTACATACAAGTTCAGTAAAACCTAATTAGATCGACAATTATTTTTACTACATATAAAGCCACAAAGACACGTAGTGTGTGGGTATCCCTCCCACACAATGTTAGTGCAGAATACTTAATTAGCACATCTCGGTTTGTAAATTAGAGTGTGACCTGAATATTTACATTTAAACATTCATTCAGCTTTTGATTTATTTTGTGTACCTACATTTGGATTTGTACTTTTGCGAATTAAATTAATTACTTGATAAAATACCTAATTGATCAAATATTCAACGAAACAAAGAGCAGTGAAATAAAACATGTTCTGAACATAATCAACAACAATAAAACATTTATTTTGCTCTTAAAGAGTCCTTGAGGCTAACGACCACCCTAGATTTGCCCGTAATAAGAGCTATGTTAATATTTAATAACCGCTGAAGAGTTATTTCGATCCCAAAAAAAATTTGTTTTTTTTACAAAATATTCAAGTTATTGTAATTCAAATATCTAGTGCAATATGAAATAAGAAATGTATTTGTAGTTTTGTAATTGTTTTATAAGTTAACACAAATATGCTCCAAGGGAGTGCTAGGATACTAACGGCCATATTGGATCTACCCGCCGTTAGAGCAATGTTAATTTAAAACCGCAGAAAAAGAAGTCCTTTAGTTATTTATCCTCCCAGGTTATTTTTTAATACCTAAGTGATTGCAATTTAAATATCTAAGACGCTTTGAAATAAGAAATGTTTGTAGTGTAACTGTTTGATAAACCACTAGCCTCCAAGGACTCATAACCAGATTTACTGCGGGCAAAATGAGCAAATACATTTTAGAGATGTGAAACTCTTCAAACAGACATGTAAGAGGGGGTCATAACTTTAAAATATCTGAGACAGCCACTTTTCAAAATGTCTAAAGGTGAATAGGTCAGTACAAAAGTGAAGGTAAGAGAAAACAAAAGGAATATTGCAATGAATTCCTCTTCATTTTTTCTCTATTAGAGTATTTTATAACACAATGGATTTTTTCTCTTTTTACGAATTTTTCTAAGCTCGTCTTGTAGCGTTAAACTTTTTTGGGCTTACGTTATGAAACACTTGAAGATAATAGCAAAAATGTTTAAAGAAATTCCATAAAATTAATTATGGTAAAATACTAACAAATTAATTAGGCGTGCAATTCTGTTACTATCCTGCTAGAAAGTTGCAATGTTGGTCTAAAATATTGATTTGGATATATTGTTAGTATCAATAGATTAACCTACTACTGGTTTTCAGTAAAAAAAAAGAAATCTGTGTTTTGTTGTCACTTATATATAAGCGCATAAATATGCATGAGTTTCAGTTTGTTGACCAAAATTACACATTGATTTTAAGGGGGAAGCATGAATTTATTTCCAATTTAAAACGTAAGTATTAAAACTAGTAAACCTAATTGGAATACCAAAATGTAAAAAAATGTGAGATACTTAAACTCGACGTTCGCGAGTGTCCACGGGCGGTGCTTAAATAAATCGGTTATTTTTGGAAATGTATCGTACTCCAGAGGTTATTCGCTTCGTTTGTGTGGGATTCGTTTTTAGCGAATTACCGTGAACGCGATTACTCAAGTAATTTTGGTCCGATTGTGATTAAATTTTTGATGAATGTGTTGGTGGGCAGAGTAAAAAGATTTCGCAAACCAGTAAGATCGGTGTTTTGGCAATTTGAAACTTAACAAATTTTCACCCTTGGAACATAAGAATTTAAATTTTCAAAAACAACCATTGTATAGGGCTTAAAAAAAAATTCTTCATTGAAGTGTCGCTGTTCAAATAAAAGAGTACGGGAAAATTTTCAAAACTAAACATTTAAAATTTTAATGTTATTCTAACGGAGAATAAATAAGATGTAAAAGTTCGTTTGTTTATTAATATACTTAAGTAAAACTTGGAAAATGTATTTAAAGATACCAAGCTATTATTAACATTTTACTATATATCCTTGTTATAAAGTCGTATATGTCTTTTATGTAAAAATAAACAATGTACGGTTCAGAAACTCAAAACCGCTAGTTAATGAATTTACTGAATTGAGGTAATTATTTTGGTTTTGAATCGTTTGAAAAATTACTGTACAGTAGTTTTATTATGCGCGTTGTTTCCTGTCGATACATAAAATTCTAATAACTAGCTGGGAATTTAAGTATAAAGTTTAATAAATAAATTATAAAATACATAAAATACAAAATTGCGATTAAGTTTGCGAATAACGAAATAAATCTACCCTTTCCGAAATCCTTTGGGGTGGTTTTGCAGTTTTACTCTTGAGCTTTATGTGTGGCCGGTTGAGTAAGGTTAGTTCATAGTTTATTGCCTAAGTCAAGTGGCATTTGTCAGTTTACAGTTTATGTTTAATAAAACGTAAAGTTATTTGCTGTTGAACACGACCATTAATGCATTTTTAGACGGAAAAACTTTTACAATTATTTAGGTACATAGGCTAAGTGAGAAGTGATTTTTGCAATGGGATTTTAAAATACAGTTAATTTAGATATATGGTAGTTCATCTTCTTAAAGTATTAATTCATCTTAAGGAATTTATTATTTACAACAATGGCGACGTCTTTAAAGGCTATTAACGATTTAGTTGTGTTGTGTTAATATTTAACGTGTATATGTGTTTAGAAATAATAATGAATCTCAGTTTAAAATATGTACTTAGGTACATATTCTAAACTCTATAATCTATCGGTTTATTTTTTATTCCACTTGGGAATTGTTGGATAGTGAACAGCACATTTATAGTAATTGAACGAAGAATTAAACATGACGGTTTTAGTAGGAAGCTACCATTCTAGTGTTATTCAATCGATTTTAAAGAATTACCACAGATTGTTTCACGGATATCTGATATTACATATTTTATTATTATTGGTACATTAAGTTTAATCAGGCTTGAGCTTTACGTA